GGCTTTTCTTTTTCCAATCACAGCCAAAATCTGGATTTTAGGACTATGTTATGAAAAGATCTCATTTCTATCCTTTTCTGTACCCCCCAAAAAATCTAAGAATGTCACTTAGGGTTCTGAGTGAGAGCTGCAGAAGCTGGGTTCTTACAGCCCTTCTTACTTGAAGTTTGCTCCTCGTGCTTGGCAGCCTACCCAGAACACTGTGATAATTTGGTCTGGCTCATTTGCCAGTGTCATCTTACTGAATGAGGCATGAATCCCACCATAAACATATTGCTTAGCAGAAGAGCATAGAAGGTATCCTCACAAATCTTATTTTTGTTAAATTTACCTGATCCAAGTGAATGTCAGCATATTTTGTTAAATTAACCCGACCCAAGTAAATTTCAGTGGAATCTTTTCATCTGAAAATGGAGGCCCTATCTGTTTCCCAAGGATGTTCCCATGTCCCTTTTCTTGGAAGCTGTTTAGCTTACACTATTTCTTCTCACCTGCTATTGCAAGCTGCCACCCCCGTAGCTCTGTTTTGATGGTAAAGCCTCCTCTAATCTCCTAGTATCATGCACCAGGAAAGGAATATTACGGTGAATTCTCTCAGCCTCCAGCTTGGCTCCCCTCCCCTTTCTTTCACAGACCTGACACAGTAATAATTCTTTTATTTGAATGGGGCACAACCAATTGCTGCTTGGTGGACTCTGTGAGGGAAGACACCATTTGGATCTCTGCCAAAGCAGGACCTGTATTGTTTGGGCTGTCCTTTTTGTCACCATCCCTTGATGTTTCCCAGGCTCTCTCCTTCCCTGTATGTTTTGCATGCAGGGGGTTGTTATTCTCCATGTTCTGTGCCTCCGTCTTGCTGTCCTATGCCAGACAGACGGGCACTGGTGGAAATGGGATGTTGCAGACAGCAGCTTGGGTACAGGCTGCACAATTTCTTAATCTCTCAGCTCAACTACATGCCATTGCTGGCACAGTGGAAGAGCTGTGTCCTACAGGCCGTTGCCCATGACTATGTAAATCAATGYGCTCTTGTGACCAGCCAAGCAAGGAGATGCAGTGGGAGGCCAGYGGCTCCTGGCAGACACTGTTCGCAGAAGTGCATTACATTCATGGGTGAGGAGGGAGAAGAAACAAGGGGCAGAGACRCAAACTTTGTCATCTTTGTGTGCCTGCCAATTGTCAGACTACTTGCATGAACTTTTGGGGGCTTTATGAAAAGTYGGAATCAACTGGAGTATGCTTTATGTTTTATAGTTTCTGAGCTTAGATGGATTTTCAAMGTTTTCTCTTTTGCTGACATTGCTGAAAATATGCTTTACTACACAAAGCAAGACTGTGTTTTGTTAAGTAATCATATTTTCCAACCTCGCACTTAAAGAAACACAGCGACTATTACAGGCCAGCGCCAATGCCCATCACTAGAGAAAGCTGGAACTCATTCCCCGTTCCCCGGGCAGGATGGAGACCGGGGCACCTGGGGACTCGGTGAGCCCACGCACGACAGCCGTCCCTCAGAGTCCTCTGCCTCCACTGTGCCGGACGCCTTCCCCATACCATCCACCGGCTTGGGACCCCCCGACCCCGGCGCTGGCCCCGGGCGGGGCMGTGCCCGCTGCGCGCCGCTGGCCCCGGGGCGGCCGGCAGCAGGTGCGGCTGTGGCGGCGGGCAAGGCGGCGGCGGCAGCAGGGGTCTCCCCGCGGGGGTCGGGGCCGTGCGGGGAGGGGGCGACGCAGGGAGGTCCCGCTCGGCTCGGCCGTGCCCGGGGAGGTCGGGGCGGAGCCGCCCCCGCACACCGCCACCTGTTCCCGCCGGTTCGCGGGCGACCCCGCCCGTCTCTCACCACGAGGGGCTCGGGGGTTGCCGGAGGCTCAGGGCCGCGGTGCCCCCTGCGCCCCGGGGACGTCGAAGCGAAGCCGGCGGGGGAGCCCGGCAGCTGGGCGAGGCCGGTGCCGCGCTCCACAGGCGCCGGGGGGAGCGGCGGGTAATGGCCGGCGGCGGTGAGTCACCGCCGGCCCCACCTGCCGTACTTAACCCGCCGCCGGGCGGCCGGCGCCGCACTCGCGGGCTGAGCTGCCGCCGTGGCCGGGAGCGGCTCCTTCCTCCTCCACCTCCTCCGCACGGGGCGCTCGGCACAGGCGAGGCAGGCGCTGCATGAACCTTCGTCTCGGGAGTAGCAGAAGCMCCAGCAGCCCTCAAAATGCCGAAGCCGGTGAGTGGGGCGCGGCGGGAGGGAGGCGCTCCGCGGGGCCGCACCGGGGTCCGCCCGCCCGGCRTTGGGGGCTGCCCGGCAGGGCGGTCACTTCAGCGTGTCCCGGCGCGGGCTTTTGCTGGGCTGGATGGGCTAAATCCCTCTCCCCGGGACGGGACGGGGCGTTTCGACTCGAGAGCCCCGGGAAGTTCTCCACGGCGCGGGGAGCGAGCGGCGGGCACCCCGCTCGGGAGCCACATCAGCGGCTGCTTGGAGCGGGAGGGATCGCTGGGGCGGCTGCCTGCARCGCCGGGCCACGGGCAGGATGGAGGTGTCTCGGATGGGCTGGAGGGTGACCTTGCCGTCCCACCGGCGGGAACGGGGGCACGGAGCCCCGGGAGCTGCGCTCCAGAAATCAGGGGGTGGATTGGTTCGTCTGGTGTAGCGCTTCCGTGCTAGACACGCACAGCGCTCCCGAGCAACTCKCGAAAGAAGAGCTTTCATCACACTCCCGCTTAACGAGAAATGATACAACTGCGCTGGCTGCCATTTAGTATGCTTGTGGCCTATGCATTTATCTACAGGAAGCGTGTATGCGTCTGTAAACATATGAAAACCTTGTTCCCTCCTTGTTTTGCGATCTCAAAACTAAATGCCAGGGATTCTTAATAAAGTTCTCCAGACTGGTCTCTATYTTTACCAGTCATTATCAAAGACCTGTTTCTTTCTTACTTTTTTTTTTTTTTTTTTTTTTTTTTTTTTGTGTTTTTTTTTTTTTTTTTTTTTTTTTTTTTTTTTTTTTTTTTTTTTTTTTTTTTTTTTTTTTTTTTTTTTTGGGGGGGGGGGGGTTTGGGTTTTTTTTTTGTGGTTTCTAATTGAACGGTCTTTTTCACCCCTACTCTCTCTTGACAACACCACCTCCTCACCACCTTGCCCTCCGACCTTCTAGTGGGTTTTGTGTTTGTTTTATTTTAAAGTCTGCTGCTACTGTGCCGGTTACAGACGGTAATTCCCTTGAGGAGCCAACTGCCTAATGCGGAGCTTTGAGCAGGCGTTGGAGCASACGCACTTTTGAACTTTGAAGACCACAATCAGAACAGCTTGTTGTTGCTATCTATTTTCAATAGAGGCRATATGTCTTAAAATGCAATGCAGTGAAGGACTTATGTGACTATTATTATGACTATTCACATAAATGAAATGTGAAGTAAGAGCAAACAAGCTTATCTTTATGGTAATAAGCAATTGATGTTTTACCACTGTAAAATCAAAATTAGTTGTACTTTTTTTTCTATTTAAGTGTTTAGGTTAGCTTCTATTGCAGTTTCTGTAAACCTACGGAAAATAAAAAAAAATTAAAAAAAAAAACCAAAAAARTAAACAACARAAGACAGAAACATGCCAAAACCCAGCTGTGCTCAGTCCTTTTAAGAACTTATAAATCTTCCGTCTCCTTGGCTGTATTTCATCAGTGGGAGGTGGTATATTGCCCCATATAATATTGTCTAACTGAAAGGAGCCTTCTATAACTGGGGGAAGCAAATATATAATTTACAAAGTATGGATATAAAAGGTTGTGTGAGAATAATCTCTTTCTGCCTTGCTAGCTGTTTGCTAATTACAGAGTGCTTTCTTGAAATATCCTGGTTAGAATAATCTGAAATCCTGGTTTAGGACTAAGTCGCACTGGAAGCCATGGATAGGTGTACAAAAACTCTTTAATCTCTTAAAAAAAAAATACAGCTGTGTTTATCCTTTTGCTTGGCAGGGCTATGTTTGTATTCTGTCAGGGATGATGATTTTTCTTTGTTTCTTGGCTGACTAGCCAGTGAATAACAAAGGTGGATGGTGTAAACCACCTTCCACTGGGAAAGGACAGTAGTACTGTAAAGACTTCGGAGATGTGACCTCCTGGCTGGGATTTATGGACAAGACTCTGTCTCAATCCTTTGTAAACATAAGCATTTTTTAAATTTAATCTGCTGCTCGGTAGGGCTAACTGCCACCTTGCTGTAAATGGAAAAGAGGAATTTTGCAGAAGTTATTTTAGTAAAACACACTGTTCAGTCTGACTGCTTTAGACTGAGACTGGATTTGGATCYTTCCCAACTCAGCTCATTTGATCTTAATACAGCTAAATAGGATTCGTGTCAGTTTGCATGGAGGGAGGATGTAAAGCTGTCACTCCAGAGGCAGAACTGTGCTCAGGACGAATGTGACAACAGCCTTTGGCATGTGTGAGGAATGATAGCACGATCTCTTGGGATGCACAGGGAAGCAGTGTTAGTTTCTACTGGGTATTCAACATGGATGCTAAATATTTATTAGCTGTGCTTGTTTGCATGTGTCTTGTCTACATGGCATAAGTAAATATGGTGCTGCTTGGCAGACTTCATCTTGCTGGGTGTGAAGTCTCACACACTGGTCATCAGTTATTTATGAGTAACGACTGTGATGGCAGAAAACAAAATTTTGGCAACACCTCCTCTTGCTCTGCCACCCCCCAACCCAATAAGCTAAACCTTTATATGAAACTGTTGTTTTAACAAAAATTGTGAATGTGCACAGAAAGCTTGTGGATCATGTTTGTAATTCGTTATTTCAGAGTAAACAAGTAGCAAGTCCATAAACACTAGAACATCATTGGTTTTGTATTTTAATTGAGTACCAAAGTGAAGTGCTATAAAGCGAGCTGTACTCCCGATTCTGTGGTAACTTTTGGTCACAACTGGTTGTATCTGGTGCATGCTTACCATGCTCAAAATAAATTTTAGTAACAGTCCAGAAAATAATTCTGAAATAAGTGTATTTGTTAATATAGACATTTTAATATATAATTTAACACAGACATTCTGCCATGTGTAACAGTTACAAAGTAACGAGATCTCCCCAAAGTAAGCTATAAAGATATATAACCTATACCCAGTTCATGAGGGTTTATGGCTGGGAGTTCATCAACAGTTCAGATGCATGATTTCCATCTACTCTGTACAGAGGTTCATTAGGCTTCACAGGCAGTGAATTATTTTGTAAGGAAATGCAAAAGGTGTCATCTTGTCCAAATCTTGCTGTGTTATCTGGAAATGAGTGAAATGCTAAATAAACTTACTTGCTCAGCCTTGTATCTTTTCATTACTGCAGTGTCTGTGTGCTCTCTGCACTTTYCCTAGATTCGTGGTACTAGTTTATTTCTGTTTGGCTCTTGGAATGGATGGTGTTTTAGGTGAATTGTATCCTCTTGCAAAACAAACCAATCTAATAAATTGTGGCTAGAACAGCATGGCTGCGGGCTAATGAACAGTGCTTACCGAAGAAGAAGGAAATGTGATCTCAGGTCTATAGAGCTGCTAATTTGATCTGATCTACCAGCATTCTTGGTTACTTTATTGAAGGTGGATTTTTTGTTTGGTTGGTTTGGTTTGGGTTTTTTTTCTATTTCCTCTTGGGGGGAAAGAAACATAAAGCTTCACAAGAAATTAAGTCAGCTTTGCAGCATAGCCTTTGATTGATGTAGTGTTGCACAAGAACTTTAAATACTTGTGTTAATGTGTATAAAACTGTGCAAAGAGAGGACAGCAGCAAATGCAGTCTAGCAGCTTCTGGTGCTAAAGAGAAAATGCAAGTGAATAATATCCAGAGGCACCTTTTTTTTAATACCTTTATTAATGGCCTGTGGTCAGAAAGCTGAGCATTGCAATGAAATCTGTTAATGCCRTGCTGCTGAAGGGGAGGTATTATTGATGCAGAGGGCCAACATATAAAGGGSATTGAAGGACTGGGGCAATAAGGTCCCTTTGGATATAGTTAAACTTAGAGGGGTGGGGAAAGAAGGTCCCTCCCTTAACAGGTTAGAAGGAGATGGATTAATTAGTGGTAGTACAACTGTCCTGTTGTTCATGTCATCTGCAATGTCTTGGGCTTCTCTGACAGAAAGCATTCATAGAAGGTGCTAGTGAGAGCTTCCCTTTARTGTAGGTTCTTACCTGTGTCCAGAAGAGAAAATTCAAAGCAGAACCCGGAGAGGGGGTTTGTGATGACCAGAGACAGAAATCCACCTTAAGATAAGAGGGTGCTTGGCTATCTTAGCCTGGTAGAATTCAAGGACTTATCTCTTCCTTCACCTGTGTAAAATGTAAGGGATTTAAATGCCAAAGAGAAGWAAGAATTGCTTTAAGCAGAATTTGTGGTTTAAGAGACTTTAAAGCTTTAGAACAGTTAAGTGTGTGTGGTGGGGGTTTTTTTTGTGGGTGAGTAGGATTTTTTTTCCCTCTCCCTTGTTGATCTTATTAGAAGACTATTCCAAGACCTAACATCCYTTAAGATAAAATTTGACAAGTACACAATTTGATGCTGCTGCCTTAGGAGTGGGTAACTGGAACTGATGTCTCAAAAGGTTTTTCCCAGCCCTGTGTTGCTAATAATGTGCTARTATGTGCTAGGCATGAAGTGGTTAGACAAGTCCTCCATACCTGTTTGATGTTGAATATGCATGCACACTGTCTTCAAGTTCTTTTTCCAGAATACAAGACTTCTGCCAAACCTTTATCTGTCTGTGAACAGACTATGGCATTAAAATTCAACAAGTTTTCAACAAGCCAGCCCAAAAAATATTCAAGTGTAGTGACAGAATTTATTTCTAAATATAAACAATTAATAATAATAATTGTTTCCAGATCTTCTCAATTTATTCTTGACTATGTGTCTTCTAACTACAGATAGTGGTTTTATCTCAGAGCTCTTCACAGCAGATTGCTATAACTGGACTGAAGTAATACTACTTTTTCATATCTTTAAGTGCTCATAATTAATTAAAATACTTTTAGCTTATGGATAGCTATAGATTTAGTCAAGAATAAAATATTACCCTTGTATGCACCAATTGCATACATCAGGTGATAGAGTGTATCATGTACTTGATTTCAGGAGATGTATACTCACTCTGGGGCAAAGTGCAAACCCAAGGAAACTTCCATTTGCCAAATGTAAGAACTGCTCACTGCTGCAAAAGAAAGGTGGAAGATTCTATGAGTAGTAAATTTAAACTCTCTGAAGTTATAAGAGAACAAGTTCACAGTTTTGCCAAAACATTTACATGAACAAAATCAAACATGAACATTTACTCTATGAGCTGAGTAAGCATTTCTGAGGGCAGTTTGTTGTGGAATGTTAGCTGYTGCAGAGAAAGCAGGGGTGTTAACTGTTATGTTAGTCACTACTTAAAGAATTTCTTAGCCTTCTTAAAGGGCAAAAGGAGGGAGATAAGCCTTCCTGTTCTGCTCACTTCCTCCACCCACATGAACATCTTCCTCTGTCCATGAAAAAAAAAAGCTGTGATATGTCAGGACTTTTTGAGAATAAGACTTCTTGATGACCACTGAAGATTCCCGCATCAGTGTCGTTCTTGTTTGGCACACTCTGCCCAAAGAGCTTTACATGCACTGTAAATCCCATAATCACTCGATTGACCTTGATGGAAGGCGGTGCTGCCCAGGATCACTGAGCCACGCTGCACACTGTTAAGTAATGTACTTTAGCTGTGCTTGCTTTGAAGCCTGGGTCCTGCAAYAGATAACATTTAGCCTCTGAGCTGAGAAGTACAGGTCTTTGCAGAATAACTGCAGCACATGAGATCCTGCACCTGGCAGAGGGGAAAATTGTTGCTAAACTAGGCTGGAAACAGCATGGCTCAGTGTAACAACTAACTTTGCTGCCTCCATATTGCTCATCGTTCACATCCAGACCTTGTTTCTCTTTCTAGTTCCCACTTCATAGTGGGGAAATCCACTTGCCTTCTCTGCACCTGCTCTCATCTTTGAGAGAGCACCAGTAGCAGCCATGTGCTCACTGGGATTGGTGAACACCTGATAGTGACAGCTGCCCATCAAAGTGAAAATCCCAACTAAGAATWTATGTACAGGACTCTGCCTTCTAATCGAGTCAGTAAGAGAAACTTGCTGGATGACCATGGACTTGTATTTGGCTACCTACTGTGCAGGCTCAGTGTAAGAGGCACAGACTCCCCTGCACAAGATCTGTGGCCTTTTGCTGCTTTTGAGAAGAGAGTGTGCCATTGCCCTGTTTGGTTTGTGTGCCTTGAGTTCTTCCTCTCATTTCCATGAGCAAGTGCTGTAGTTACTGTATCAGACTCTGAGGTGTTGCTATGACCATCTCTTCCTCTCTTGTTTTTGTGTGAAAATGTCCACGCTTGCTGTAGTTGTTCTAACCTCAGCGTGAAATGAGTGTGAGAGAGGGTTCTCTGGGGATGAGTGGACGGACATCCTGTTGCTGAATTTGAGCAGGCTTACAAAATTACTTCAGAGTGGCTCAGTTCTGTCAAGAGACCACTGCTCTGTAGATGCAGAGAGCAGATCTGTGAGCTGCCTGCTACCTGAAGAAGCAGAGATTTAAGAATCTCACCTTGGTACCCAGGTGCCTGAATTTAGCCTGTGTAGCCCAGTGGATGGCTTCAAGTCTGTACTGTCAGATCTGGKCTTCAGAGTTATTTGTAGGAGCTAAAGGTGTTCTTCAGCACCTAACTGAATACATTTAGCTGGCTTAGCTTTTTGTCTTTGTAACAATAAGTGATTGTACAAAGTTCCTGCTGCACAAACTGTGGTGTGAATTGGTGGGGTGATTTGCATAATTGATATTCCATGATCTCATTGTGGGGGAGAATAGTTTTTCCTCCTTAACAACTGACACAGCTGTGCAGACAAACTCTTGACAGGTGCTTTTTCTGCCCTCACTGTGTTCGAGGTGCACTTTGGTAACCACTGGTGTGTATTTGTTTGCCATCACACATCTATGGTGAGGGGCCTGTGAAGAGTTTCATCTCAGAAGCCCTTAGGCTGTTTTAGGGGTTAGGAAGGGGTACTTTGCCAATCCTTGCAATCACTTTTCCTTTATGATCTGTAACTGCTCAAGAGCAATATCTTTATGCTTAGGTGRCATTTCAGGCCTTGCAATGACCTACCTTTGTCTGGGAGCAAATAGTACCTGTTGCCTGCTGTTTGAGAAGTGGAAGMATTGTAGGGTATTGCACATAGATCAGATTATCAAGCTGTCAGAGGTGATCACATCACATCACCCCACTAATAAATTTCACAAATGCCATGCAATATGTCCCACTGAAGTCTGTGAGCAAAATGAAAGAGGCTGATATGGAACAGAAGGGTGGGATATCAAACAAAAAAAGTATATATCTCTGACAAAAGGATTTTTATCCAGAATGCAGAACAAACATAATTACTGGACCTTGTGTGACCTGTTGCACTGCTATTTCTCCCTAAGTAAATGGAGTTCATTTTCTTTCTGCACTTTGATGTCTGTATGAACATGGCTGGCCTTGTAGGTCAGGCAGAAGCCCTTGTAGCCTAATAGCACACCTCTGCTGTTGGCCAAAAGCTGATGCCTGAGGAAGAGTATTTCAAAGATACGCACCATTGCTTTCCTCTGAGGTACTGGAGGTTGGAAGGTCCTATATAATGAGTTACTAAATGGATTTCTGTGAACTTGCCCAGTCTCCCTTTGAAACCGTGTGAACTCCAGCATCCATAGTATACTTTAACAAAGGCTGTCCTAGATAACCTTCACGTTGTTTGGGAGGTTATCTACAAGCCTCCTTGCTACAGTGCTATTTGATTTTTTTTCTTGTTCAGTGTTGATGCCCTGCAGTTATTTTGTTGGTAGAACAATGAACACACGTTTCTTGTCTACTCTGTTCATGCAGCTCATGAGTTTATAAGCTCTTACGTCCTAGCCTCAGTTAATTTTCTTCCAAACTGAGAAGTCTTAGCTAGCTTAGTTGATCCTTGCATGGTAATTATTTGAGCATCCTTGACCTTCTTCCAGTTCACATCTGATGAAAATACTGCCTTGCATCCTGTAACTTCCTTGCATCCTTGCATCTTCCATCCGGGAAGAGTACAGTTACTGAGAACATTTTTCCAGAAGTTTTTTCTTGGATACCTTGAGCTCCCAGGTCATAGTCCTGTGAGAAAGTCGTTTGTACTCCCTGTGCTCACACAGCCCACTTTGTTCCATTGTAATGTGCTCCTCTTCCACCCTAAAGGAGCAGCCACCTCAGGGTCTGTTGAGAGCTGTGCACTGTCAGGCTGCRCTGGTGCTGTCAGACTTCTGACTGTGTGATGCCTTTGGCTTTTCCATGCACATTGCCCTCTAGAACACAGAACCCTGCATAAGCATTGGAATAAAAGGCACCAATATTGGTGCTTGGATTCAGGGGGAGCTGTGAGGCTATTAAAGCTTTTATTTAAATTATTCACACCTTCAGATCCTGCCCCTGGTTGTTGTGGTTTAGTACTGTGGAATTCACCTTTTGCGGAAATTGTCGTGTTTGTTGCTTCCAAGTGAAAAAGCCAAGCAGAGGTAAGAAATGGTGTTTGTGTTCCGGATCAAGACTGTAAGGTACTAATTTATTTTTTAGATTTTCCCTCATGGAGATTGCACAAGGATGATATTGCTTTATGTAGTGTAAATATTGAAGATGTTAAATTGTTTAGAAGCTCTGAAATTGCAATMAAATTTGAGATCTCAGACTTGTATATTATCTGCACTTGGCYCCATCCTTGTGTTTCTGATGGAAGRYRGCAGAAGATCTGGACTCTAAGCAACTTCTTGAGAATAAAGCTTTTTTGAGAATTGTTTGTGGGGCTTGCTTTAAACTTCATGTGTAAAGCCTTAGTCTCACAACTTCATTATGTTTAATTAGATGCAACAGCTGCCATGATAAAACAGTCTGTGTATGCAGGAGTTTGATCCAGTGGCCTCTGGCTTTCCTCTGTATTTATTCTTTATGTACAAAGGACCTATTGTTGCTGCACTCTGTGTTCCTAAATCCATCCTAGCATCCATTGAGGGCAAATGACACTTCCAGGCAGTGGTGCTGTGTTGAGCCTGTTGTCACTGGCTGTGTGTTCCTTCTTTAAAGAACAGACTGCTGCTCGCACACAGATATTCTGAAAATGCTAATAGAGTATTATACAGCATCAGAGAGTCTTTAAAGTGAAAACATTAATGTATTTCAATGAAATGCCATAAACCCTCCTGCTTCTTCATAATATCATGTTCAAAGTAAATCCTTCTTACATCCCTCACAGAGTGAAGGCAAGTGTTTTGCATGAAAAACACCTGGGCTCCCTAAGTGTAAAGGGCTTTGTTCAAGGGCAGTATCCTGGGGCCTTTCAGACTTACACTGCATTGCTTTATGTCTTGCCAGAACATTTTACATTTTTTAAAAAATCGAATTTGAAGATTTTAAATAGGCCTCTGTCTCTCAGTTTTTCCAGTGTGTTCCTAGCTTGAGACAGAATGATGCTGCTTGCTTGTTAGGAAAGAGGTGGGGGAGACTTCAGTGAGTGGAGAAAGATTTTAATGATTTTTTGTTTTTTTTTCCTGGAAAGAGCCCTTGCTTGGTTTTACTGTTTCACTGAGCAGTTATTGTTAACTSTACAGAGCTACCAGAGGTGGAGAATGCTGGAAGTCCATCTGGGGCTTCRGCATTTTGGAGCCAGGGCTTTCAGAGATGTATTGTCACTTGCACTTGCCACACCTGCATGAAATCTTCATGATCTTTTGGCATGCAAAGTGTTATTGCTTGACCCAAGATAAAGAACTGAATTGCAGCCATTGCTGCTCCTTGACTTTTCACGGAGATGCCTACGATGCAGTTATTACATGCTGACAGAAGAGATAGCAGGCRTTCATTAAGGGAACTGAGATAGGCATGTAATTTAGTATGGCATCTCCTTCACATCTAAACATAAAAAAGTTTGAATTTGCATTCTAGGATTATGTTCATGTTTAATTATAAGGAAGGTTTCATGCTATCTTACAAAGGAGAGTTGAGTGACATGGCTGCAATACCGAACTCGATGGATTGGCTTTCTTGTGACCTATTTGTGCGTGCTTGCAGGCAGGGGGAAGTTCATTCTGAAAATTCCTCCTGCTTTGTTAAAACTGGAATTTCTGGATGATTCCCCAGATCTATGTGTTGAAGGTTTTCCTGCCCGCCTGAGCCCCCCTCCCTTCACTTCAGAGTCCAGCTTTCAGATTTCACTCCAAATTTTTTATTGGCTTCCCCTCAAAGTACTTGATTTCTCTTCTGAAAAGCTGCTACAGAAGAAGTCATAAGTCTTTTTCACCATACATGAGAGCAGCAAATAYCTGGGCTCCTATTGCCTTGACTAAACTTAAGAAATTTCAGTTAAGTATAACTGACATCGGGTTTGCTCTTTAAATACTGAGGACCAGTACCCCCAAAAATATGATTGTATGAGCTGTTGCATTAAAGCTGACTAGCAGTTAAGGCTAACAATCACAYTGGACAATTTTAAAGTAACTGCTAGATTACAGATTGTTATATACRACTCATTTTACCCTCAGTGGTATTTCTTCCTCTCCTGGGAAGGTGAGCAAGGTTTTAAGGAACAAAGACCAACCTACTAAGCTCTAATTTTACCTGCTGCAAATGCAGCAATGCCTAACTGCTTCATAGACTCTGAGGAATTCCATTGGAACGTGACTTAATGTTCCCATTTATTTGCAATGAGGAAGCAATGTTTAACACAATGAGATCTGAAATGGAACACGTCCTTCAATTCACAGACGGGTATTTTGATTTAGCGTGGTATGCTGAGAAACTGGGTCGGCCAAATGGGTGCAACCAGCTCGCCTTGTCAGCCAAGGGGATGCCCGTGACCCCGTCCCCTATTCACATTTTGTGAACTGCTGAGGCTCTWTTCTTCCTTGTCAGCAAACTGTGCTCCAGTGTGCGAGGGAAGCTCATGGCTGCTGTGCTGCCACTGCCCTCTCTGAAATGCTGCGTGTTGGGCAGGCAGTGCACRGAAGATTCTGTCACAGGAGCAGGGGAGGAGCTTCAAAAAGCTTTCCTCAGTTCTGTGCTGTTCCCTTTCTCRTGTGGTTCAGATTGTCCTTCCACAGAAGAGAAATGGTGGGTCTGTCATTTGCCTTCTCATTTCAGGTTCTTGCACATACTTTAAATCATAAAAATGTAGCACTGGGAAGGACTTAAACCTGTGTTTTCTGACAGCTGCATGGAAGTGGTTACATAATATCATGATATCTTACCACTCTAGCAATTATTGTTTCTCATCGTGTTACCCAGCCTGCAATAAGAGGGCTTTTTGCTGTTTCTTTTTCCATGTGGGTTTGGAAGTTGCTGTTTTCTGCATAAAACATGTCATGTTTCCGACAACTCCCATTTTTTGGAAAGGGACCAGTGACATGTTTAAATATAAAATCCCATTTGAAATAAAAAACAAAAAAATGCAGCCCCGAAACAAAGAACCTCAAACACACACAGACGAAAAATCAACCCCAAATAGCAATCATCCCAGAAACACCTTACCTGTAGATTAGTGTAGACTTTCCTTGATCAACTTGCCCCCTTCCAAAAGAAGCATTCAAATCTGGGTGACAGCGTTCCACCTAGCAAGTCATCAGGCAGGCAGAACGGAATAGTCACCTTCTGTAATGCTTCCGGTGACAAATATACTCAAGAATGTAATTTTCCCTCCTATGTAATAGCATCACACCAGGAAATGTGGTGTTTTTCTGGGGATTATAATAAACCACATCCTTGTCTACAGTCCTGCTGTAGCCCATTGTTTGCAAGCCTGTAATCTTGTCCATTCTCACCTCTCCAAGTGTAACACCTGTAACTATTTTACAGACCTACCAAGACCTTTGAATTCCAGCCCTGTCCCCGCAAAAGACTTTACCTATTTGTTCTTGACTAGGTCCTGTTCGTGGTCTAAGTAAGTGCACTCCATCTTCCAGGGACTGTGAGAATACTTGACTTTATTTTCTTGTTCCCTCAATCCCACCACACTCACAWCCCCTTTTCACAGCCTTCACCTGACAGGTAAAGGGCAGAACATAATGTCCATGTAGTAGTTCTAGCAAGATGAAAGTGCTAAGCCCAGCTGGGAAGAAAGCTGTTTTGGCAGTCCTGCAGCAGTGAATGGAATTGATAATTTGCTTGATATTGATGACATTCATCTCCTGCTTTGAAAGAAGCTATGGAGAATGTAGGTACACAACTTGCCATTTGGTTGTAATTTTACCTGGTTCAGATTTGTTGTATGCCTACTCTGTGTTGTATGGTACCACATCAAATATGTTACTAGATGAGGTTTGATCCATCAGGCAGGTTATTCTGCAGAGGAGAAACAGCATTGGCTCCAAGCGTGGTGTTCTTGACATGCTGGTGTTCATGAGTTCTTAAGAAMGATATCATAAATTGAACTAACATTTCTGCAGTTGCTTCTGTGTTATTTGTGCTACTTACCTTCTCAAAGCTGTCTTCTCCTCTGTACAGTCTCTGAACCATTACCTCTTGACTTAAGTAACTTGTGAAGGACAGAAGAGTGCAGATATGAAGTGTTAGCAGATTAGCTCTGAGCTCTGAAGCCTCTTGGATTTTTTTCTCTAGTCAAAGCTGAAAATTTTCCCATAACAGTTTCCAGGAGCTGGGACAACAGTTACTCCATCAGTTAGCACAATATCTTTCTTTGTTGCTGGACCTGGAACCAGTGAACACCACTGAATGGAATGTGGAAGAATAGAGAGCAGTTTCATCGCCCCTCTGATGCTGCTACTTGAAGTTGTTTTTCCTATTACCAGACACTTAATCACTACACRCGTCTATGAGCAGCTCTGGTTGCTAAGGTCAAAATGAGATTACTTTGTCCTTGCAGATGTATTGCACCCAGGCCAAGAAGCTTGTCTGTTATTTATTCCATTAGTAGCTGCTGCTTSTGTGGTGAAAGAGTAGACCTGCAGAAGTGAGGATTATTGCCATTACTTTCTTGATAGTATTATTAATGCCACTGCTTCCTGTTGCTTGTTAAGATTTCCATGTTCCTCCAGCACAAGCAAGTCCATGTGCACACAGTCAGTTTGTGTGTGCCGTACAGCACTTCAAAATGGGGTTGATTTGCTTAAATGTAGTAGTGACTCCTGGGGTTTCCAGACACACAGTGACTGAAGAAAGAAGGCAGGTCTGTCTAGGTTTCTCCACTGCTAATTGCCACCACTTGGAAAGATGYTCCACTTGGAAATCTGCTGTTGAGGAGACTCTAGTCTTTATTCCTCCTTGGAAAGAGGAAAAAAACATTCCTGAGCATTGTCTAAGGCATTTAGAGCTGCCTAATGATAATGATAAGTGGCACAGTTAAGTACCGGTTTGTCCTGGGTTAATGGTAAAAGTTGGTATTTACTGCCCTTTATCTTATGTATTCACTGAAATTAAATTGTATGGTCTTATTTAAATGACTTGCACAACTGCATGGTTTCACTGAACTATTTTATTATGCAAGTGCGCTATTAGATTTCACGCATCAGGGTGCAAAATACCCAAAATGGCATCGTTTGCGTGAGAGCTGGGGGTTTATTTTTTCTGTTCTGCCTTCTCTTTTCCCTTCAGTGTGGGATGTTTTTCAGTGGAGCTGCAGTATCAGGAGAGGAGTGGTTTACTTCAAAGATACCCTGTTGTGTGCAACCAGGGCAGATTCTGCAGCAGGGTGCTCAAAAGTCTGGTGTCAGAAAAACTACAGCTGTGCATCCATAGTGTCCAACATACCTGAAAACTGGGTGTTTGTGGGASTAAGGGATTGAAGAGGCAATGTCATCTTAGGTTCCGAGCTAGGTCTTGATTCTTCCACAGAAGATGGTGCCACTCAGCTGGTTTGCAGTGTTGCCCTCCTTAAGCAACAGTGTTTTCTGAATGATTTTCAAATGGCACTTTAATTTTTCAAGTTAGATTCTCTACTRATGTGCAAGGAGTCTGAAAGGCTGCACCTTTGGATGATCTACTCATCATGAATTGATCTACTGATTTAGCATTAGAAGAGATGTTGTTTTAACAACAAAAGTAAGAACAAATGCATGACTTAAGGGCATTGCAAAAGCACAGAAGATTCCATTCTAAGTTCTAGTACAAGGACTTTCCATGGTGTTACAATCATTTAAACTCTACTCTGAAGTTCTCTTTAGCTCGGGCCTTCATCTTCTGTTCTCTTTGAGTTGGTAATGTAGCTATCATGTTACAGTCCACACTGAAGTCACAGAACTGGTGTTCAGTCTTTCTGTACTAAGTTCTTCGGCTTCRGGGGAGAGATTTTCCTTTTAATGCAAATGACATTGCCTTTTCAACAGCACGCTTTTTCCCTTTTGAATCCAATTTGTTAGTAATTTTATGCATCCTAAGACAGGAGAAGAGGAAAAACTTGTGTTCCATGAAGTTTTTCTATGCTCAAGCAAACCTAAGGCCCTATTTTTCATTTTAAGTGTGTTAGCCTCAGACATAAAAGTAGAATTATTGAATGTTTAAGGTTGGAAGGGACCTTAAATATGATCTATTTCCAGCCCCCAGAATGGTAAAGTGTTATGACATCGGCCTATCAAGAAAGAAGTCACATCTTACCGTCTAGGATTTTTAGCATGCTTTGTGCTTAAATGCACATATTTTTAAATACAAAACCATACTTCATGTATGATGGCCATGTGCTGTTCTCTCCCCTCCACACCCCTATGCTCCTATAAATTAAAAACATTTTGGTTATGACTTCTTCAACCTTGTCCTGGCTTACTGCCAGGATTTGGTAGGATCTTACAAAGGACATGCCTTGCCTAGACAGGGTGAGCAGGACTTTGATTGTGAAAGTTGTCTTACTGTCTTTGTCTTTTTGTTGCTCATGGAAATTAGTTGGAGTTGTTCACTGTTTTCCTCCCCAACAATCCCTGAATTGGTTAGCACCTTGGGTGTTGATTTAATCACCTTGGCGCCATGGAGAGTTTCACCTGGTCTGAGCTGAATGCCAGCCCCATGGACTCTCCGTGTAACGGGCATCAAGGTTTCTTCAGACTGTCTAAACCAGGGTTTCATGTGGGKTAAAGCAGCTCTGTTTGCTGCTTTGCCACCAGCTTCTCGATGGCWAAAAGCTTCTATGGATTGGTTGTAGGACATCCATTTAGAAACACTGTTAAAACCATTATGTTCTTGAAGTTAAGGCTGAGGTTTGGAGATGAGAACCAGGAGGGCTTAACAGGACAGGAAGGAGACTCAAAGGATATTCCAAGRGAGTCATCAACTCATTGAAGGGACAGAAGGCTCTGTCTCTTCTTGCTCTGCCTGTCATGTGGCTGGCAGTTTGTCTGAGGCCACACCAGGGAATTCCTCTTTGTCCTGATGGTTATGCATCCCTCAAAGACCACAGAAATTAACCTTTACTACAGGCCCCAAGTGTCCTTGAAAGCTTTTTGGATAACCAAGTAGTCATGTTCATGCATGCTTCTGGCTTTAAAGTGGAAAAGCAGATTACTGTCGTTTTGGGTCTTAATACTAAAAAAATTCTTAAAATATGTAGTGGCTAAATGGCTTTAGCTCTAAATAGCTCACTAGATAGCTGATCCTACATTCTTTTAGGGTTGTAGTAAAACAGGACTAGGGAATTTAACTTTTTTTACTAGCAGATAACCTGTAAGGAGAGACAGAAGAAAATACATACATAYTGGTACTAGCTGGAATTTGCGCTCAGCCAGCATTCTGCAGGTTTTCTGGTAAGGAATAGGAGGTACATCCTTTTACGTTCTTTAACGTAAAGTGATAGCTCTGTTTTACACCACTGAGGTGTTTCAGCCAGAAGTACAAATAACTTGCACAGTACGAAACTGAAGACTCTGAGCATATGTTTTCTTGAAGTGGGTAGAGAGGGATTAGAATATTATTAGGGATTTATTGTTGAGAGGGATTAGGCACCAGGTGTTTTTTAAGGTCACATCTTTKAATTGCAGCCTTGCTGTTCTAGAGAATTTGATATCTGAAATTCCCTTTCCTTCCTGCACTGRAAACACTTCTTGGGAAACCTTTGGTTCTTAAGGCATGGAAAGAAAACATCAAACATAATTCTATGCTCTATTTTGGATCCCAAATGCTACAATTAGGTTTGCCAAGAGCTTGTTTTACTTTCTCGCTTGTTCTTTCATCTTGCATTTAGRGAATTTTTTAAAATGTCCTAATTTAAAGGACAGCACTTTAAAAATATAACTTGAAAGTGGTGGCACTACGTAATTTTCTCTGGCTCAGTTCTGGGGTTGCATGACATGGAAACTGCTTTCAGTCATCTTTCTTTAGGAGGGTCCTCTGTCATGTGGGAGAGAGCAGGASAAAGAAACAACTCCATAAAGATACCTGATAGAATTAAGCCTTCATAGAATCATTTAGTTTGGAAAAGATCTCKAAGATCAAGTTCAGCCATTAACAAAGCATTGCCAGGTCAGCCATTAAACTGAAGAAGGTTGGTTAAACAGTGTCTCACTGAAGGAGGAGTGCAGAGCTTTCTCATATATTTGACTAAAACTAGCTAAAGCARCCTGTTTTATTCACAGTGCTGTGTTAATTGTAACATTGTTACACCTGACATTTATCCTAGCTCTTAAACATACATCGTTAAGTTGCTGGGAA